AGAGCTCCTCTAAAACTCCCCCAAGCTCCATCAAAGTACACAAAAATAAACAGAGATGTCGCAGTTGAAGAACGAGAAAGTGGGCATTGTGGGCAGGTAAGACAGACATTCCAGGGGGAAAATCGATTCCGAAGGATATCCTAGTCATATGCTCCCTGTTGCAGCGGTCTGATTGGTCGCTCCTGGTCCATGCTGTTCGCCTCGGTGGGCTACCAGGTGATGCTGTACGACATCCTGCCCGAGCAGGTGTCCACCGCCCTCACCGCCACCCAGAAGGAGCTGCGTGATCTGGAGTCCAAGGGTCTGCTGCGTGGCAAACTGAATGCCGCCCAGCAATTCTCCTGCATCTCCGGCACCAACGACATCAAGGAGCTGGTCAAGGACGCCATCCTCATCCAGGAGTGCATCCCCGAGCGCCTGGACCTGAAAAAGGCCCTCTATAAGCAGCTGGATGCCGTCGTCGGACCCAACACCATCCTGTCCAGCTCCACCAGCACTTTTCTGCCCTCCCTCTTCAGCGCGGATCTGAAAAACAAGGCCAATGTGAGTAGATTTCTTGGGTTTCATTGGGTATATCTACCTACCTGATAAAGGCTATGTGATGGTTTATACATAGAGGCGGTATCAGAAGAGTTTACCTTTAGCTTGTTATACAGATAACACAGTTCTTGAATAACTTAAAACAATGCTTTTTCACAAAACTTAAAACAATGAGCTGAATTTAATGACTAAACCTAATTAGAGATACATTAAATGCAATGCAATGCAATTTGATCATGAGATTCAACCGTCCTTGATCCGAATTTTTGTGTATTTCTCATGCGAGAACGTTTGAAGGCCAACTAAGCTTTATTTCGTGAACAGGTTTTGGTCTCGCATCCCGTCAACCCACCGTACTACGTGCCCCTGGTCGAGATCGTGCCTGCGCCATGGACGAAACCGGAATGGGTGAAGAAGACGCGTGCCATCATGGAGGAGATTGGACAGAAACCGGTCACGCTGTCGCGGGAGATCGAGGGCTTTGCGCTGAACCGCATCCAGTATGCCATTCTCAACGAGACCTGGCGCCTGGTCGAGGCGGGCATCCTGAATGTCCAGGACATCGATAGCGTGATGAGCAATGGACTGGGTCCGAGGTACGCCTTCCTGGGTCCCCTGGAGACGGCCCATCTGAATGCCGAGGGCATGGCCAACTACTTTGAGCGCTACTCGAACACCATCTATGCCGTCAGCGAGACAATGGGTCCCACAAAGAAAATGGAGGGACCCGTGGCCGTCGAGGTGGCCAAGCAACTGGAGAAGATGGTGCCGCTGGACCAGTTGGCCGCACGCCGCAACTACCGCGACAACTGCCTCACCCAGTTGAGCATCCTCAAGAGCAAGCTCAACAAGCAGTAACTCATCACTATCCTTCTGTTCTTATTTTTTTTTGTGATATGCTAATGCCACACATGTACTTTAAATATACGGAATTTGTCTAAACTGAATCGAGTTAATGGTTATTACAAAGATTTATGATTGGAGTACCCTTGTGGTCAAACAGCATTATTTTCGTTTACGTTAAATACATGCATTTGGTGGTTAAACTTACAATCTCGTTGTTTATTAAACTCTACTTGTGTGAGTATTCATAACATTAAAGAATTTAGAAAATTAGTTAAATCGATTCTTAATACCTAGTTTAGAAAGTATAACTTATGCTTAGTGGCTGGGCATTTTCAATATTTTCGTTTCCTTGTAATGTGTTACGTTAAACAAAATAGTATGCAAATGTGGTTAAATTTATAATCTCCTGTGAGATTTCATAACATTTAAGACTTCGGGACATTAATTAATACATAGTTAGGGTCTTGAAAAAAACGTATTCCTAGTGGATGGGAATTCCCAGTAACTCAACTTATAAACTTTCTTTTTTCCATCCGTTTCTGAGGAATAACTATATGTCTTATGTTAAATATTAAGTCCAGACTGCATATCAGTTTGCATTATCTTGTGACGTCAGGCAAAAAAGAAGTAGGAAACAACAAAATATAGGAATAGATAGCCAAGCCGTATTCACAATGTAGGTTTATCTTCAAGGTTAAAAACTTGACCTCGGACATCACATTCGATCTCACTTTCAGGCGACATTGCGCCAACACCACGGGCCAGGCAGGTGCACTCTAACCGGAACTGGTCTTCTTGGAGAAGCTCGGTCCTCTGAACGAAGGCGTTGAGTAGGAGGTATTGGACAGGGATCCTGATCCAGATCCCAAGCCAGTCACTGGCTTCAGGGATCTACGCTGCTGGGTGCGCATCTGCGGCAGCGGTGTGCTCGTGCAGGATATCTTCTGGCCGGCCTTGCTCCTCGAGGAAATGGGCGTGTCTGGGACACGTGGATGGACGGGATTTAGGTAAGTGGACTCGTTGCTCGCTGTCACTTTCATCATGGGCACAACGGGCTTGATGGGCTTCGTGGCCCTCACGCTTCCATTGGGTTTGGACACCGATTCGTTTATCGATGGCGTCCTCAAGCGGCTGCTCATGAGGGTGCGCCTACTTTCGTAGGCCTTTGTGGACGGATTGCTGGGCGTGGAGAACGAGTTGCTTCTCTGTCGGAAGCCAGCCGCTGCTGCTCCACCACCACTCAATGGACCAACTGTGGCAGTGCTTTTGGCTTCCCTGGGCGGCGGTAGGTTCTCGACCTGGCGATCGGACTTGAGCACTTCGCGGGGCAGCTTGGACTTGTCCTGAATGGACAGTGACGACGATCGGCGGCGCATTGAGCCTGCTGCATTGGCATCACTGAGGGGCATTGGATTTGTCTTGCCAATACAGCTGGAGGTATAGGAAAGCTGACTGCCGTAGCTGTTGGGATTTACCAGTAATATGACTGTCCTGGGATCAACGCCTTGCTGCTGTTCGTGATCCCCACTCGAAGACTTTGCGAGTTTGTGCCGTTCTAGTAACTCGTTGATCTGCAGAGCAAGTGTTTCATCCATCAACTCCGTCATGAAGGGTTCCTGTCGGGCGGCCACTGGCATGGCGGGTATCGTCGGTGGGGATGGATGCAAGTCCTTTTCAAATGGATCCATGCGTGATTCACCATCGTAGGTGGCCGAGGAGCTGACCATGGCATCGGGAAAGTGTTGGGTCTTGCTGCCTGGCACCAGGACCTCCTCCGCCTCCCCCTCATCCTCCTCCTGAACCTGCGAAGCGTCAAACGAACGCTTTGTCTTTGTGCCCTGAATATATATAATCATTTATAACACAATATGTTATAAGGATTTTCAAGATATTTACCTGAAGTTCTAAATCAAATGTTCCCTGGCGGTTGTACGAGTAGGAGGATGGCGGTATTGGTAGCTCGGATGTCCTTGCCTCCACACCAGAGCCACTGGGACCGAAGATGACGGCTGCAATCGATTCAATTGCCGTGTCAAACAGATGCCACTTGGTCCTCTCGACGTGCTCGTGAGCCAGCATCTTCAGCAGCTGCAGCATTTGGCCCAAATCCTTGCAATTTGCTCGATCCTCGAGTGCTTCCTCCTGCAACTTTTCCGGCGTTTTTGCTTCAATTTTAATAAGTTGTCGGTTGTTATTGTTTTCCTCGACATTTGTCTTGGCTTCTTGTGCATTATTCATCGCATCCAGAACCGGTATGCGTAGCATTTTAAGGTCTTCCTCAAAATTCATGCTGGAGGAAAGGACGTCGTCGTCTTCGATGAGCTTCAGCGGCGATTCGGCGGCCAGCATCTGTAGGTTTTCATTCAGTATGGTCTTCTCGAACTCCGATTTGGAACGATTCTGGGGCGGAGTGTTGGCCACGGATCGTGAGGCATTAAGTTTGAGCAGCTGTTTTTGAAAGGAGCTGTTGGAGCGGCGCTTATGTGTTCCCTCTCCGGATGAGGATGCGGACGCGGCGGATGCATCCTGTGTCTGCATGCAAACTGGAGGACTCTCGCTCTCCAGATCCGGATACTGTCGCTCGGCACTGGACATCTTTTCCTTGATCTGCGTCTTCAAGGTCATGCCCTGGAACACAAAGAAATGGAGGTTGCTCAGTGGTTGGTATAACCAGGTAGGTGCATTTGGCCTGCAATCTACATAACCTTACCTTCATGCAGGCCTCCTTTTCCATCACATCAAAGGGATCGTAGGGTCCCTCGAAATTCGCGGAAGCCACCATGTCCTCCGGCTCCTCGTGCAGCGTCTCCTTGTTGGGCTCATCCCACTCGGTCAGGTCAATCAAATTGCGTACTTCGCACATCTTTGGATGAACACAATTCTTTACAAACGGAAAATTGAAATGGAAAGGCAAATAAAAAAAAAAAACTTCGAAACAACGCTGTGTTTGGCGCTACTGAAAGGTGACTGTGTGCGTGAAAGTTATCGATATCAGTTACGTACCTGAGGTTTCCACCTGTAGCCCTTTCACTTTTTTATATAATGTTCACACAGAGATCGCTAAGCGATAACGATAGAAAAGATTTAACTAGAATTGAGTGTTCACATTGACCCAAAAAGAATAGTCGTTTTTGGTTTTTTAATTTTAAATTTATATTAAAAATATGCAAACTAATATAATCGAAAAAAAATGGTGGATGAATTAAAATTCCCTTATCCTATTATTTATGGAAATATATATATTTTTTGTAGGTAAACTTTTATATTGCTTGAAAATTAAGAATACAAACTAATATTTCTATACAGCATGACACGAAGTTCTGATGCGACTTTGCTATCGACAGCGATAAATATGATAGAAATTCCTCTTTTTTTGATGACCACAATCTGAGCTTTTCACACTACGGAATACCCAAATAGCTGCAATTTGAAATGATTTAAACATAAAATTTTAAATTAAATAAAATGTTATTTATTACATTCAATTGTAAACTAAATAGTTTCTTAAGTTTCATTTTTATTTTTGCATTCTTTGATCCACAAGCTGACCGTGTTTTTAACTTTGATTTTATACTGACCCCATTTTTGAAGACTGGCTTTGTTTAAAGATTGTATTGTAATTTACAATTGTTTCCATATATCCACATATATATTTCTAACAAAATTGTATAATTTCGTGTTCTATATAAACGCACAGATGAATTTTTCGCTATTATGGTGCTAACACATATGCAATAAATATTTTTGAGTAATAATATGTACATATTGATACAACAGAGGAGTCTTAGTTTAATTGGGAAAAGCTCTTAGGAATTTGCTGAAGACGTCTCCTCGTCCTTCACCTGGGATTCTGGAGGTACGGCACCGTACTCTTGGACATTTGTTGTGACGGTCGTGTAGCAAGATCCGCATAGCCTAACTGGATTAAAAAGCTTTTCGTTTGGCAAAGGAGCCCAAAATTCCGAGCAGTCAGCACAAAAAATTTCTCCACATGATCTGCAAGTATATAAATAAAAAAATGATGTTATTAAAATATTTTTAATTATCTTGTTGTTGAAAAAATATAACCCTATAAACCTCATTGAGAACCATGGTTATGGTTATAGCTCTAATAACAAATATAAAAACAGCAGTTGATTTAACTTGAAATATCAAAATATCGGTTATTTGATTTATATATATTCTTGATTAGCATAGTATACACTGTTAGTATAGTCATGGATCCCAGTAAATGACGAACTAGTCGCTCAGTTACTTCATTCAAATAAATAACATCACGATTTCAACTAAGGTTTTATATTAGGTATAGAAAAAACATAGAATTGCAAAGTAATCAATACGATAGTTAACTAATTTACTGACTATACGGGCTCTAAAATATTACAACTTGTTAATATTCAACTGAAGTTAAAAATCAAACGAATATTGAATGTCTTTAAAGAGTAAAGAGTATGGTTTCAAATGTTGGATGCGCACCGACAATGATGTTTTCTTCGTCCAAGCCAGAACTCAGTTTGACAACTAGAGCAACGCGAAACTGCATGATCTGGTACCCAGAGGACACTGGAGGCTTTTTTCTCTTGGATCGAGGAAGGGGCAAACGATGGGGGACCGCTACGTTCTTCGACGGCTTCCCAGGAACATGTTGAAGCATTTTCAACGATATCCGATCCATTTTCCTAAAGAAAAGTTAAATGATTAGACGACTGCAAGTTAAGGCACACAATATTACATATGATTAGATTACAAGTTTGGCCTCGTTTAACACAAGTGCGCTATTATGCTCAAAAGTCGTTTAGTAAATCCAAAATACCCTGGGTTATTAGCACACACTTGCTATATCTAACACTAACCACGCTTCTCAAGAATATATGACGGGAGAACGAATATTAAAATCATTATTTACATGTTCCATATTTGTCGAAACGATGCTATTGCAGCTGGGACAACCTTTCTCCAATAAAGCCAATCGCATGCTGTGTATTTCCCGCAGAAGCATTTCCTCTCGGAGCTGAAATATTGTATTATATTATAAATAAGCTTCAAGGATGCTGCTATGTACTGCTCACCTTGTGTTCCTGTACAATCTGGTGGAGTCTTATGTTTTGTTCGCTGAGTCCATGGGCTAGGCCATCTGGACAGCTTATGGTAAACTGCGCCCGCTCCTGAAATGGTGTGGGCGGCAGCGAAATGATGCCCGACGAAGGGAATTGGTGTGCGCTGGAAGTACAGATTTTTCAGGTGAGTGAAAGTCCATCAAATCTCTTATACTACAACTCACCTGCCGTTTTCTGCTGCGTACTTTAAGTCGCGACTGTTGCTCGAACCGCAGGTGTTGCGACGGATTCGACCGCCCGCAGAGGGTGCATCGAATGGCGACTGGGCCACGAAACGCTGAAGATCGGGCGATATAAAAAGACCTTCATCAGCATGGTAACAACCATCGGATCCATTGGCATTCGCATTGGCGTCTTTGGACAACTTCGCCAGCTGGCAACGGTCTGCATTTCCGGCACTCTCCCTTGGCACTTGTAGGTCCAGGTGATGCGGAAAGGCGTCCCCTCGCTGCGGGCATATCACGGCATTCGGTTTCATGTGAACCTTGGGCAAATTATTGTAGCTCTGACTGATTTTACTGCTCTGGCCAGCAGCAGCAGCAACAGCAGTGGTCGACGACTCCAGCTTTCCATCACCACCGGCCAGGTCGATGGGTGGCGTTCGATCCCGATCTCTACTGCTGTTCTCTTCGCTGTTGGCTGGTTTTTGTACGGGCTCTGCAGGAATCAGGGTATCAGTGCTGGTTTCGATGGCTCCATGCCACAAAGCGCGACAAATATCACTGGTGTCTTCGGATATTGAAGGAACTGGATTTTGATCTGAAAACGAAGAGTTACAAAGTTACTTCTTGCCTTGGATTCTTAGATCTACCATTAGATCTTACCATTTTCAGAGTGATCCAGAACGTGGACAGGTCGTCCGGATCCAGGGATCTGTTGCTGTGTGGACACCAAGGAACTTCGCCTTTGCGATTGTGATTCTACTTCCAATATATCACGGTTAGAAGCTGTACTTTGGTCGTTGTGGAACTCTGGAATGGGATGATTTGAACGGGGACCACAGGGACCCGATTCAATGGCATCTGTCACATCCAGCTCAAGTTCTTTGGGGTCTTTAACACTCTCTTGGACATTTTCGCTAACACTATTGTCGGTTTCCGATCTTATGTCAAACATGGAGTTGCTGTTCGCATTGAAGCAGTCTGTAACACTGATTAGCAAAGAGGAAAGTAATTAAATAATACATTAATTAATATAAATGGGACCCACATGGATTCAACTGTGAGGTTCGGATCACTCGATCTCCTCGAAATGGTGCTCTGTCCCAATTCGTTCGTTGTTAAGTCTTCAGAAGATCTTGTCTTCGCCATTAGGCCTAGATATTGCAGAAACAAACTAAAGTTAGTCTGGCTTTTTTAATAGAATATTCAAACACTCACCGTTGTGTCCCGTCTGTCTTTCATTACTTAGTAATGGCAGATCAGTTCCGTTTTTGTTGCCTAAACTACCAAGGTATACGTCAGACCAAAAATATAAAAACCGCACACTGTGCGCCGGCCAAAGAACCTAAAATACCAAAATATATCATTAGCTTTAGTTTTTAATACAACAGTAGATCCTTACCTTTTCAGTCTCATGCTTATAGAGAGGATTTCTATACATAGTTTCCGCTAAAAATGGCCACACTGAAAACGTTCGGTCGAAAACTGAATTCTCGATGCGTTCTCTGAGCGAATTACATAGGAACGTGCCGAACAGACAGGACAACGAATGTTGCGCCAGTTTGATCTTTATAAACAATATAAGTTAGTGGATAGGAAAGGCGGTACTATAGAGTAGCACTTACCAAATAGCTTATACTGAACTCAAAACTGCACGGATACTGTCTGTGTATTTGATGCACCAGATCAAGCCACTGCAGAAAAACTGGGCATCGCTCGTTGACTTCGTCGGAGTTGGGACCATTGCCAGAGCGATCGGCGAACTTGTGACCAAAGTTCAGCCATTCACGCTCTACTAGAACACGGAATCCCTGAAAGAAAATCAATTCAGAATCAGAACATGATCTATAAATGATGGTTTAAACTAGGCAAGTCACTTCTAAGAAAACTTATACTAATAAACTATAGTATACAATACATAGCAACGTACTTCAACAGTCCTATAGTACGGATCCAGACAGAGTTGTGCCGTAGCCACGATCTGCGGAGTGCGATCCCAACCATCTGAGCAGTGCACAAGTACGGGCCGTCCATTCTTCTCGATTGTGTGCACAACAGTCATCGTGGCACCCAGCAGACCCGAAAGGTGCTGCATCCACATGGTCTTCTCCAGTTGTCCGAACCAGCTGTGAATTATTCGTTAAGGTTTTATTAGCTTAAATACAGATATTCGTTGGATTGCATGGCTAACTCACTTTGGATCATCGGGAGATGAGGCGCAAAGCTGGCGGACAGCATGAAAACTCTTTCGGATGGCGTGGATGTTGCCCAGGTTCATAAACTCAATTTCTGCACAAGGATAGTACTCTATGCACTCACAGCCACCGCCTCTGGCGCGATTTGTAACCGCGGATGTGTAGCTGCGAGCATCCACAATGAGGATTTTCTGAAATTTTAATAAAATATAATTAGTTATAAATCCATCTCTATTGAATTAAATGCATGGCTTATCATTTCTGTAGTGTTTTGTAGCCTATACGTAACTTAATTTTAGTATTTTTCATTTCATTATATACAATGGTATATAAAAAGTAGGTATAGACCTAAAACCTTGTACAGAAGTATCATTATATTATAAATAACCGCTTTATAGGACTTGAATCGTAATACAGACCAGCTGAACAAAGGCTTAATTGCCGCTTACAGCGAAAAACAGCCATAAACTTACCTTTATTTCATCGAGCGTGAGTTCCTCGTGCGAGGAATCATCCAGAGATGGTGAACTCTTGCCGGACAAGCCCGACTGGCCGTTGGTCTCCTTGGAGCCCTTTGTTGGTTGCGCCTTTGTGTTAGCGAAGGTGGAATTCCTGGCGTGCTCGCCGCGGTCAAAGGCACAGGCATCGGCCAGTGCCTTCAGGAGCTGCTCATCCCTTGTGTTTCGCCAGCCCAGCCAACCCACCTCCGGCTGGCTGCATCGGGCCAAAATGGCGCCCGACTTCTGATGCCGCCAGACGACGGCCGGCAGCCTGCGTGATCCCCGGAAGTTGGCCACGTTATGCAGCATCTCGTCGGTGATGCAGCAGGGCACAAGCAACTTGGGTGGATACGAGGGGCAGAGCTTGAAGTCGGCATTGGCCGTGGAGATGCGCCACGAGCTCTTCAGGTCGAATCCCAGGCGGGCCACCTCGTTCTTGAAGTCGCTCTCATAGCGCACGGATCGCTGCAGGCGGTTGCTCATGGCGGAGGCGATGCTCTCGCTGGCGGGATCAATAGCCAGAGGATTGGCCGCCGCGGCACTGTGATGTGGGACTATCGGCTTGGCCGAGCCATTGTGTAGCGCTGAAAAGCGATCCTTGGTCACCAGGCCATTTCCATTGGCCGTGGTGCTGCCATTTCCGTTTCCTGTTCCGCTTCCGATCACATCGCAGGTCCAGGAATAGAAGGGAAAGGCGAAGAGTGTCTCCAGGGCCTCGGGCACTCCGATGAGCAGGTGGATCCGGCGCTGCCAGTCGGCACACTGCTCTGCCGACGGAAAAGAGCAGCGCACTGTGCTGGCGTCCTTGCAGTTTACGATCAGCTGGAACAGATCCCGCACCTGAACGGATTCGATTAGGCCCAGGGGTACGTAGGTCTCGTAGGCGGTTGACTTCTTGGAGAGAAATATCCGGTAGTTGGACAGGGCAAGGACGCCATCGTCAGTGCGGCCCAGGTACTTAATCGATTCGCCGGCCACTAAGGGGATATATAGTATAAATTATAGATTAATAGAGGGATATATCATATATGTTAGATAGTATCCTACACTCTTGAAATGGGACACACAGCTGGGAGTCTTCCTTCTCCATTTGTGATTTTGGATACGATTCGGCGGCACGGATAAAGCAAATCGATGGAGGCGGTGATCCATCGGACATTGTGTGAATCGGCTAGAAGAATACTTGGCATGTAAAGTTTTCGAAATTACTTATTTGCTTACATATATATACATATATTTATATATATTTGGGCAAGGCGAATCGAATCGAATCGAATCGAGTGTCATTGGAAATCCGGTTATCGCCCATAGGTGGGATATATCATATATCCACCTTCCACCATCTCCGAATACGTAATTATGTATGTATGTGTGTATGCATTGAGTATATGGCGTTTATATGGATGTTATTGGTTTTGGGTTCGATGCGATGCAAAGTTTTTACTAGTATGGTATAGTAGTAGGTCTCATAAATAAATAAACATGTGCATTATTAAGTATTAGATGGTCAAAACAAAGCCAAATAAATTGATAATTCCAGCGGGCATGATAATTCCAGCACAATTTGAACACTTTTAGAACAAATCGAAGTTAATGTTTGAGTGTCGTGGTGGCAATATAGATAATGCACTGCATATAAACACTATGTGCATGTATGTATGTATTTATGTGAGAGCTGCACACACAGTTGCAGTTCCACAAGGTGCGCAATACATAGTATGCACGTACATATGTCACTACATTACATTACACACATTGATATATATGTATATATATAGCACTAGACTAGATTATCACAATTCCATAACCAATAAGCGAAAAAATGGCCCATTATCGTCGTACTCAAACTCAACAGATTCTAATGGCTGTGTGCATGTTGTCATAAACAAAGTAATTAAACATTTACGCATGTGTATGTTTGCATAAATTCATATGAATTCATATGTATGTATTCCGATATTCCGAGGAGCAACAATAACACATTACAATCGTTACATATGTATGCACACACATTTGGTTATATTTTTTTTTTTTGGGGTTTTGATGTCCACAAAACGATCGGTTAGCAGCTTTTGCGGGGGTGTATTTAGCCCGAAAACTAATTGCCGAATTGAAAACGCGCTTGGCTTCTAGCTTTTCTCGCTCTATTTACCACCATAAAATCCATAAGCGTCAGCTATTATAAACAAAGATTTGCAAATGTTGTTGCACATACATATGTGTGCATATGTATTCATTTAGACACTTTTTGTTTCATTTCCATTGGAAATGGTTTATCGCTTCGGCTCGATTCGATATTTGTATCGTTAGCGATGGGGGGTCGGTCATGTGATGTGACTAAACCACTATCGATTAAGGCACAGCACACCGAAACGATAAAATGCAGCAGTGTGCTTTGCGAGACTAACCAACACTGGCCAGCCGATAAAATCAACGAAATTGTTAAAACTTTTTTATTGTGCGTACGTTTGCATTCCATTCCAGCTGATGTGTAACTGAAATTGAACCGATCGCTTGGACTTTCCGCCGGTGCACGCAAATCCACACCCACTCCACTCTGCCCACAATACACCGCCCATCACAATTGGACCAGAATGATGATGGTTGGAGCGAGAATCGGAATCGGAAAGCTTGGGCCCTGTGCGGCCCTAGTTGCGGTGAGTCGACGTGTTCTGTTCTGTCTGGTTGTGTTTCTGTTTTCTGTTTCTGGTTCCGGCTGGGATGATTGCGAATCCCCCGCTGAACCAGCGGGGCATGTTTATTTTTTCCTTGAAAATGTCACAGAGGCCGGCTTTTTGCCTCCATCTTTGGCACCTCTCCCATCGCATTTCTTCTCAACTAACCGGAACTGTTGTCCTTATTGAAATTCCAGATTATACAGCTCCTCCAGCACATACAGCCGGCAGAATCCGCCGGGGCAGTGCCCATGACCAGTGATAATATCGATATGACCCTAGGTGAGAGACCAATCCGATATGAACGCACCAAACCCATCCCAACAATCCCACATCCCAAGTCAATTAAGCCACTTACCCCATTGACGTGTCACTAAACAAAGTCAGTGGCTCGTCCAATTCGGCACTGCCAACGTGGTAAATTGCGTTTTAGACGTATTTTACGGATCTACTGAGGAAGTGTTGCTGAATAAACTTTAGAGATTATAAGGGTTTATCATCCATTTTGGTCTGAGTTCCGTCGTTCCGCCAAAATATCAGCCATCAGAGAGCGGTTCATTTTAGATCCCAAGTTTGGCTTTCAGTTTCTACATATTAGGGATATCTTAAGCAAATAAAAAGTTTTAATTATCCCATGTTCGATTTCTTTTGGGTTTATTTCTAGTTTTTTATGACTTCTAGTCTTTCCGCTATTATCTTTCGTTTTACACAAATTCGATTTTCGATCTTGTTACGGTTTTCTAGGTACTAGATTTTACAGTGGTACTACACTATAATTAACCACATCTTAGAACTTTTTCTTTTTATTAATTTTTTTTATAATAAAAATATTCATATTTTATTTACAAAATGTATAAAATTAATATTATTATTTTTAGAAAATTTAAAATATTCACTTTATATTTATTGTTATGAACACAATTGCTTTTAGCCACTCTGGGAATACACATACCATTTCATACACAATTTGGTGCTGATAACATTAAACACGCCTTGTTTCTTCCAGCGTCTAATGAATTGGTTTTCCTTAATTTTTATGCGGAGTGGTGTCGGTTTAGTAATATTTTAGCACCTATATTCGCTGAAGCTGCAGATAAGGTGAGTAGACCATATGGATCGGTAGTGATATATTTACCCATCTTTAAAATTATTAAACACACGACAATCATTTATCTCTCTTTTGCAGATTAAAGAAGAGTTCCCAGAGGCTGGTAAGGTGGTGCTAGGAAAGGTGGATTGCGACAAGGAGACGGCCATCGCATCCCGCTTCCACATAAACAAGTATCCGACTTTGAAAATAGTCCGCAATGGGCAGCTCAGCAAACGGGAGTACCGAGGCCAGCGTTCAGCAGATGCCTTCCTTGAGTTCGTCAAGAAGCAGCTGGAGGATCCCATCCAGGAGTTCAAGTCCCTGAAGGATCTGGAGAATCTAGACTCCAAGAAGCGCCTCATCTTGGGCTATTTTGATCGTAGGGACCAGCCCGAATACGATGTTTTCCGCAAGGTGGCTACGAATCTAAAGGAGGACTGTCAGTTCCACGTGGGCTTCGGTGATGCCGCCCAGGCCATGCATCCTCCTGGTAATAACCAGCTTCAACTTATGCTAAACTTCTGTAATAATATTAATTTTATATTTATTTCAGGCACACCCATCATAGTATTTAGACCCGATGTGGCTCTGTCTCATGAAAACGATGAGACCTACACTGGAACACTGCAAAATTTCGATGAACTTAAAATTTGGATCCAGGAGAAGTGTGTGCCACTGGTACGAGAAATTACCTTTGAGAATGCAGAGGAACTTACGGAGGAGGGACTGCCGTTCCTTATCCTCTTCCATCGCCCAGACGATCATAACTCGATCAAGGATTACAAGTCGATCATTGAGCGTCAATTGCTGGATGAGAAACGTAAGATGTTTGAAACCTACTGGTTTAGATGTAACCTTTTAATATATATTTTTAAAACCCCACAGAGAACGTCAACTTCTTGACCGCTGATGGCAAGCGATTTGCGCATCCTCTGCACCATCTAGGGAAATCCGAGGATGACTTGCCGCTGATTGCCATCGACTCGTTCAAGCACATGTATCTGTTCCCCCATTTCAGCGACATGTACTCCCCAGGAAAGCTAAAGCAGTTCCTTCAGGATCTCTACAGCGGCAAGCTGCACAGGTAACCAAACTAGATATAATACAACATTAGAACGAATCCTAACCATTTTTTGTTTACTTTCCAGGGAGTTTCATTACGGGCCGGATCCCTCAAATGATATAGAACCTGACCCACAAACCGGCAAAGGTACTTCCCCTCCAGAGTCAAAATTCAAGGAACTTGGCCCCTCCAAGCATCGCTACACCCTGCTAGAAAAAGATGAACTGTAATATAATTATGTACATTTAAAATAAAAGAAAACAATATAAAAAATGTAATAAACAGCCTTTCATCCAGTCAAAACGTAAGCAGGAAGGCGAAACTTCGATTGTGTTTAACGTAAATCTAAAAATAAAAGGTCTGGACTTTATTGACCTTTGTTATTCCAAAAAACAGTTGATGGATGAATCATTTTGGCATTCAACGATTGACTTGCCATGTTGAATTCCTCACATGTTTTTCAAGAAAATTAATGATGTTTTTGAGGGTTCTGTAGACTACTGTTGATAATAAACATGTCGCCCACTTACTAGAACAGTGACATATCTCAATAAAAATAGCATTTCGAGATAAACGCTTTTTAAGTTTTCAAGTGCCGTATGGGTTCTAGTAAAGCTATCAGACTCCAACCTCTGTATATAAAAGGTACGATGATAAAATGTACACGCAACATAGATTATTACTCAAAGAACAATACTGCATAATACCTTTAATTACAGCCGATACTCTTAGAGTAAAAGGGTATGTTAGATACGTCGAAAAATGTGTAATAGGCTTTTCCGATCCTATAAAGTATACATATTCTTGATTAGGATCACTAGTCGAGTCGATCTAGACATGTCTGTCCGTCCTGGAAATTTATTTTATTTGATATCTGAAACAAAATAAAGAGAATGTATGAAATCTCTAGACTCCGAGTCCCACACCCATTAATAATAGTATTTAGATCTCTTTTTCGATTTAATGTATATATATATATATGAGTTATATATATATATATTTTATTCGTATGTACCATGTTACAATTACAATCGTTAAATTAGATTACATAATATAAGTTCAGTCAAATCGAGCGCTAACCGGGTCCGTGTTGTCTAGAAGTCGGTTAAAATGAAGATGTGTGTTGGTATTTATAATTAGCTCTGACTGGTAAATTTAAAAGTACATTTAAAAGAGTACTCGCTACAATTAATACGTAAATGTGAAAAAATAGGTGCCATGCTATACAGCGCGCTTAGTATGGTCTGGAGCGCATGCCTCCGTCGTTCCTCATGGGTCCACCGCCGTCGCGGCGGTTGCCACCGCCTCCTCCCCGGCCGCCACCACGTCCTCCGCCGCCGCCGCCTCCTCCTCCGTTGTCATTGAAGCGCGAGTAGCCACCACCGCCGCCGCCTCCTTGCGAGTTGCCTCCACGATCTCGGTTCTGGTATCCACCGCCGCCGCCGCCGGATCCGCGATCTCCACGATCGTAGCCTCCGCCGCCGCCGCCACCGCCGTAGCCACCTCCACCACCACCGCCGCTGGAACCCTCATCGTCGCCTTTGGGTGTCTTGCAGCTAAAAACAACAAAAATTCAGATTACAACCGGAATCAACTAGAGATTGTTAATATGTTAGTTCCCCAGAGACTCAATAAAATTCCTATCAATGGTTTCCAAGAATTTCTTTCGAGTCTCGTGGGTCTCGACCCGCATTGTTATAAAACCGTTTGGTGCAGTTCAATCTATGTTTAAATAGTTTCCCCATCATAAGTAATGATATAATGAATTAAAAAGGATTTTCTTTGAGTCTTGGTCTCGACTTTATACAGAGTTGCAAGCTTGTTTTGTTTAACTTATTGTATAATCATAAATAATACAACAAACTATGGTATTTTGAATTAAAGAGTAGCTGTTTTTTGTAATACAACAGTATTTAAGTAGATGAGAACTCAAATTTTAAAATCCTAGTTAGACTTACCGATTGCACTCATTGCGCCAGGCGAAGTTGGTGTTATTGCAGCTGTTGCACTTCCAGTCGCCGTCACGTGGTTGCACATTGCCACCGCCGCCAGCTCCGCCGCCGCCTCCACCACCGCCTCCACGGTCGAAGCGTCCACCGCCGCCGCCTCCGTTGCCGCCACCACCGCCTCCGCGATCGAAGCGGCCACCACCGCCGCCTCCTCCTCCCCCTCCGCCGCCACCGCCGCCGCCGCCTCCTCCACCTCGACGTCCGCCGAATCCACCGCGACCTCCGCCGCCGCCCTTGTTCCAGTTGTTCTGGCGCTGGGCCAGCGAAACCTTGATCGCATTTCCATTGAAATCTCGCCCATCGAACCATTCGATGGCCGATTGCGCCGCATTGGTGTCGTCGTAGGTGACAGTGGCCTCTCCCTTGGAGGCGCCGGTCTCCTTGTTCTTGTACAGCCAAATCTTTGGCTTCATCGTACGCTTATCCTTCTGTTAAGTGCAATGGAGAAAGGAGAAGGGTTAAAAGGTTAAAGTATATCTACGGGACCACAAATTACCTTGATAATGCCAATGGCTCCAAAGTGAGTCTCAATATCCTGCTCTGTGGTAGATGGATCCATGCCGGAGACAAAGATGGTATCCTCCTGGGTGATCATGTCGCCGCTGCTGGAGCCACCGCTCCCTCCTCCTCCACCGCCGCCCGAGTATCCGCCGGGTCCTACAAAGGTGAATGGGCTATTAGACCGGGCTGACAAAGCAAGTAATTGCTTAGAATGGAACTGCTATTTATTTTTTATATTCTTTATTTTCTTTTTTTTTATTTCTTTTAGAATTTTTCCCCTCGATTTCAACCACCAAAAAACGCAACGAAGGTGAAGAAGGTCGAAGTACACGCCCATATGTGTATTATATCGAATCCTATACCTTGGCTGTTCCGTAATATATGTTTAACCAGGATAGTACTTGTTTTTGGGAAACCAGAATTTCGAGATGTATTCGAAAACCTTTGGGGTGGGGGTGGACGACTCGGGGAGAGACAAGGGGGACACTTTGAATGGGTGGTTTCGAGTTTCGGGTATCGAGTTTCGAGCTTTCAAAGCCAGACTAACTGGTGGTGGTACATCAAACACAAACAGGTGACCCCGAATTGTCAGGAGTAAGCCCGACCGATGCACCTTACGAGAACCCTTAGTTCGTAATAACGCTTTAAACTGGACGTACACTCAACATTTCACAGGAATTTAATATTAAATAACCCCTAGCAGACCAAGTCGGTCGTTAACCATAGTTGATCAAACTAAGATCAACGAGTTTGAAGTACACTAAATACACTTTTTCGACGGGGATTATGAATTATAATGGGTAAAGACCCCACAAAGAATGCCGCCAGGTGGGGAACATTTTTGTTTACTCTTTCTATGATTTTTTCAAAAACCTCTCTCTCTCAATATGTTGATTTAAAATTAGATATTGTTTCAGGATCTGATCGGTTGGGTTGCATTTCATTTTTTTTTTCATTTCGATTTTAGGTTCAAGTTCAATATGTAGAAAAATATTGGTATACATTACTCGATATGATTGCAATTATTTGCATTATTTTTACCTTTGTTGTAGCTGTCCTTGCTGGCGCCTCCATTTCTAAAAGAGGATATTGAATAACTTATTTAATGCTTTGATTTTGGTTTTAATGCAGTATGGTGAGGTATACGCCTAGGATCCCTTGTAATACATATTGCTTGTTCGACCATATGGTATCTAATACCATCTAGAGAGCACCCGGCACAGTTCGGTCAGTGACGACGGTAAAACAGCGGATATCCATTGTCATTTTCCATCTCAATATCCAGAATCAAGGGCGGCAATCACTGATCAAACTGCCAGGGAGAACACCGTAATCTACGCATACATATTTGGTCTTAAATCTCTATTCTAAACGTTTCTAGTTTACTATTGATAAACTGATTTTTCCAAATAAATGGGACTCGGAAATGAAAGGGACAGAAGATGTTCGTTCCTTATCGATAAGTCCAGGAAGTTCCTTATACCCGTATACCATCGTTAATAATCAAACCTGCTTATCTATTAAAAAAAAAGGTTTTAAAAAAAACATTATTTCATCTTAAAGTTAAGAAGACTATTGGATAAAATCACGTTTCAACTTAATACTATTACAAATAAAAAACAAACAAATCTCAAGGGGAATACTAAAAAACAAAGCTTAGAACTAAATTTATTAGAGGTATAAAGCTCTACCTTATACTCAACATGTTTACCTTCTCTTAATTATCTACTATCTTAGAATCGGTATGAATTTAAGTATAATAACGTAAATACCTTGAATATGATTAGAAAGAATCAGAATCATACCAATCACTCCAAAATGCATATTTTGTATTTATTTTATATCATTTGAAATTATATTTCTTGTTTTTACTCGAGCTCTAATATGACCAATTGTAAGTTTAGCTGAAGTTTTGGAGATTTCTTCGTTTTTATGACCGTTTTATAATAATTATATCGTTATATCATTGTATACACTCAGTCTTATGTTTGTTCTCGTTCTTATTTTCATAATTTCTTGACCCACATTTTTTTTTTGTATATATTGATGCTTGTAGTGTGTCATTTTGAGAATGTTTACGCAGGGGTGGATAATAATTTGTTTTTTATTATATATTGTATAAGAAAAATGATAATAATGTAATGGGCGCGATTCTCCATGCAAGAATCATTGAAGTCATCATAGATTTCATAAGACGACCGTCACAATATTCAATGGCTGTCCAACCATTCAATTATTTCTTCGTTGAGGCGCCTTTTTGATACCCAAGGCGACTTATTTACCATTTCATAGATGTGCATTGTCAAAACCATTTTATAAAACCAGTTTCTAATGTTTTAAGTCAGATTTCAAAGAAAAAACATACATACATGAAAAATACAGTCATGCCGTGTAAATAATAAGACGACCAAATTAGAGACTTCTGTTATTCTTTTTCAAAAACAGCTGAAGAGATGTTAATTTCTATTTTAAGAGTTTTCCACCAGTCAGAACGAAGAATTTCGCTGGAATTGCAAATAGCCATTTCACACTTTGATGCAGGGTGGTGCAACGAATGCATTTCCTTTGTTTTAGCGGGTTATCTTTATGTTTTTGAGAAATTTGCTCGGCTTTTTCGTCGATTATGCTGAATTGATTCATAAATGTTTTTTTTTTTAGATTCGTACACTTCTTATAAACTCTTAACCTCCGTGGAACGCTAACCGTGATCTTTGAATCCCTCAGTATAACACTGTACCGAATTAATGGATAAAAGTGAATAACATACCCGTAGGAATTGCCTCCTCGGTCGTTCCATGAGCCGCCGCCTCCACCTCCACCGCCTCCGCCGCCGCCGCCGCCGGAACCACGATGACCGGAATCATAACCTTAAACATAAATGTGTCGATATTGGAGTTGCGTTCGGTATGTCGATAGTTATTTGCACGCCTTACCACCGCCGCCTTGTTTGCCGTAGTTCGGAGGTGGCTCGTTGTAGTTACCCGTTTTATTTGGCATTTGTTGGTAGTTTGGTGGGGGGACAGCGAAATTATTATATCCCTGTCCGGCACCACCACCATAACCGCCACCTAGAGTGCACATATTTCGGTGTTTCAGTGTTCAATGTTCTGCACGATGATACTACAATTTTAGGCATTTATAGCTCTTCTACTTACGTTCCATGACAAATAAACGCTGCGAACAGACTCTTTTCGATCGATAGAAATGCAGGAGTTTCAATTACTCGCTGCGCACAAAATGTCCCGAATGATATAGCGTCAGATCGTCACAAATTTTATTGTAAAATGGCGTGTGAAAATAAGTTAGGGATGTGCGTGGACTGGGTCTGGTATATGTGAATATCGCAAGGGCTATCGTTATCGATAGGTGGGTGGTGGAATGCATGGAAATGGAACAATCACGTAGGCCATCTGCCATTTCTTGTTTTTAATGTGCAAGTAATTTTGTTTTTAGGGAAGAGTATTTATATTTAATTATTATTAACTATAAATATACGTTTTTAATATATTAGTACATTGCCCGCTTTACAACACTGTATGGCCTGCAACCCTGCGAACATTGTTTACATTCGCTAGCACTAAAACTTTGAATGAAAGTGCAAATCAGCTGTTCGTGCTTTGAAATTGAATTGGTGTTTACGTGGATTTTTTTTTATTCGATTCGACCACAATTTAAGGCAGAACCGCACACACAATGATCGAGATAACAGATCTGCAGAGTGAGTAACCAATGATGCGGGCAATACCAAAGCACTGGCTCAACAAAATCTTCCCGCAGAAATTGGCATCGGCTTGGCTGGTTTTGGCATCTCGTTTCTGTTCCTCGGCATGCTGCTGCTGTTCGATAAAGGCTTGCTCGCCATAGGCAATGTAATAATAACTAATAATACCATCCCTGCCAGCTGACTGTAATTATAGCAACTGTCCTATTCCCGCAGATTCTATTCATATCGGGCCTCGGCTGTGTGATCGGTGTGGAGCGCACCCTGCGCTTTTTCTTCCAACGCCACAAAGTCAAAGGCACCACCGCCTTCTTCGGGGGCATCGTCATCGTCCTGCTGGGATTCCCCATCATCGGGATGATCATTGAATCCTATGGATTTTTCGCACTGTTCAGGTTCGTATAGTATTCCCTTGGTCTTGGTAGTCTTTGTAGGATGACCATGGCCAGTTGATCCGGATTAACCGGTCATAGTCCACATTTGCGCGGTCTTGTACCACCGGAACTTATTCCAATTCCCGCTATTTCACCTTATGACAAGGGTTTTTCTATGATACTTACTAGACCTTAAAATAGTCGTAAAGTCTATCTTGTGAATATTGTCCAACGGTCTTCTATAAGATGATTTATTAACATTTAGACCACGCTTTTACTGCCCTCACTAACTTTAAACTCATCCAGTAATCACCTTAATATAACCCTGTAAAATGTTCTAAACTCATATCCGCTCTATTAGCATACATCTCGCTCTTTTTGCCTACAATGTGCTTTTGAGGCCAACAGAAGTTAACTTGCTGACTCGGTTTTACTTTATAGTAAACAAAAAATAATGCCATGACAATAACTCCACATCAAATTTTCAGAAAAGACAACCTTTTCATTTTGGCAAGCCTTTACCTTCTTCATGAGACATCAATACAACCTGCACCTCTTTTTTATGAGCACAAATGATTAATTCTAATCTACATAAAAGTTTGAGGCGGGAAGTGTGTACTCCCAAGGAAAAGGTTTTCCCCGAATGATTTGCTTTTAGTTTTAAATCTAACATTTAACCTATAAGATCTCCTAATGGTTTATTTTCTATTTTTGCAGCGGCTTCTTCCCCGTGGCCATTAATTTCCTGGGACGCGTGCCTGTCTTGGGATCGCTGTTAAATTTACCATTTATGCAAAAGGTAAGGGAGCCGTAGCATGGAGCCTCATATAAGAAGCATGTGCATAAGTAACCCATCGTCATACATCTAACTCATAATAATTTTTCGAGATTATCTCGCTTGAACGCGAAAAAAAACCCATTCAATAAACTGATGGGGTCCACATTCCCAAACGACCACGCAGAGTCTCGATTTCATAGCCAAGTTTGGTATTTATCTAAGCTATGTATTTCAACATTTACAAGTCCAAAGAAGAGGGATTTAGTGGAGAGTTTAGTGGATCTTTTCCCAGTCCTCACGCTCCTCGCGCTCCTTAACGACCTCCTTGAGATACGGCTCCAGATACTTGACGTCCTCCTCGTACTTGGTCCACTGCTCCTTGGGCAGGATCGTCTTGGTCATGGACAGGTGGAGGGCCCTCATGATGCGGTAGTTGCGCTCATCGTAGAGCTTTCGGGGCAGTCGGCGCACGGCCTCCTTAACGTCCTCGTTCTCATACAGACAATCATCCCGATGCAATCCTGTAAAATGCAGTAGTTCCATAATGAGCGGCTAGAAATCGTTTATTTATTTATTTATCCTACCGTATTGGTTGAATCCGGAAAGGTTGTAGGCCCATCTGCCGAGATTAGCTGTGGGGAAAAAAATTGGCGTATTATATTTACGTAATCACACTATCCGAGGCACTGCGTCAACGGGTTTTGGAGTATTTAGAGCATGTCAGCCCATTCTTTTGGAGCAAATACTCACAGAGAACGGCGGGTCCCTTCCTTGCAATATAGCTCGCCATGGTTTACGTAAAATTAGAAGTCAGGAAAGAGATATTCCTCCAGCCTTTTTATTTTAGGTATGGTTATATTGCTAGGGATGAGCCTGGGACTTATCGCACTATGCTATCGATTCACATATGGTTGTGTTGGCGAAATCGGTTCTTGAATTTAGCTGTTATCGATATATCGCTTCAAAAAGAACTCGTTTTCACTGCGTTTTCCATCTTCTGTAATTTTTGAAATTAAAAAAATTTATTTTCTAACATTTTACCCTCTTTTTTATACAGATCGTTCAAAAACTTGGCGGAGACGGGAACCGAACTACAGTATAATCTCATCTGTACAGTTTGCCATAGTTATATATGAAGACTTTTGTATAAAGTAAATAAATTCAATTGAAATTCTTGTAAACCCATTAAACTCCATGTAAAAATCTGCCTTCATAAACAAAATACTTGTAGTTTATCAAACCAAATAATGATATTTTTATGGTTTTGGGGAGTTCCTGTTGGCGAGATTGACATATTAAAATCCAGTAATGTGTATAAAGTCTTTTATAGGACCACGCGCAAAAATGGTTTTAAAATTCAATTCCATTTGTCAAAAAATACATTTTTTCGTATCCGTTTTGGAATTCTTTTTTAAATTTAACCGCACAAAAAATAGATGGAGTGCTTAGAACATATAACTTATACTTACGTGTCTTCTCCCTATAACTTCATAATTTTTAAAGCTGGATTTTAATAAATCGGAAGTATTATCAAGAGTAGAATACAACATACATATCTCTTAATCCATTTGATGGCCATTGCCATTTGCCTCAAGTTCAAAACATTTGTATAATTTACGAGTTCACCAAGCGGAAATCCTTCTCATTAGAATAATATTTCCCCTATTTCTAGCGATAAGCTCCCGCTATCAGTAAATCCTCCAATAAAATGATTGATAGTGGTTATACTTTAAAGTACATACCTTCGCTTTATTTATGACTACAAAATATCGATTTATACAAATTAAAGAACATATACAAATTCTTTATATATATATATACAGTGCCCTCTCTTTAGAGTGAACACTCGATTATGTGAACTTTTAGTAAGAGTGAACAATTTATTCAAGAAATTTTAAAAATTTTTGTTTAACTTAAAAAAAAAAAGAACGGCGTGTTTTTGAAAACGTGTTGTTTAAAAATATGTTTATTTATTTTTGTTTTGTGATTCGTTATAGTGAACAAATTCGATTCAGTGCGCACCCTTTGGTTTTCAATAGTTCACTGCATCGAGTGAGCACTGTACATACACTAAGGCTGGCACGAACACGACACTAATTTAAGTTTGTTTTTTCGGTTTTAGTTTCTGTTTCTGATTTCTGAACACACGTTATATATATACATATGTATAACATTGAGACCCGTTCCAGCCTTAGTTTATACATATATCACTGGGCACATAATTAAGTAACTCCCAATGCGGTGAGTGGCCGGGAGAGAGAAATCACTTATTGTTCTTTGCTGCAGTCAATGACAAAAACTCGTCCTTTCGAGCCAAGTATTCATTGTAACGAAGAAATGCGTAGCTATATATAGGGCGAAAGAGAATCGAAAATCCAGCATTAGTACTTATTGGTTAAAGGCTAGTACTAAAAAATAGAATAAGGAATCGTAAGGTCGATTTAAAACTTTATGTAAGTGCTTGGTAATATACATGTTCCTATTCAAACTCATGAATATGAATATTATATTGTTTCTTATAACCTTAAATTGTACTTTCGACCCTATTAACAGTTGCCATATCATTCTGTCCGTATGAAGTTATTTGTGATGCTTACGTATATTTAGATTTCTTCAAAAAATATATATCCTATATTCAAATCCCGATGAGGTTCAGTTCAGTAAAACTATCTACCAATTCCTGAGACACATGAAGATTTAATTAATAGGGTTCTAATTGTTAAGACCTGGATCCTTTTAATATCTAGTCCTTAGTTATTGGCATATACATACCCAACGTAGTCGAAATCGATAGTGGAATGCTCAGCTTGCAACAGGGACCACACCGTCCAGAAGATATGCGATGCCAGCGCAAACTGATTGACCTGGACGTACAGCAGCTCCACTTCCTCGTTCTGAATGTGGCTGCGCTGAAGGTACTCCTCTAGGTAGACCCTCAGCCACTTCAGCTGGAATTCGCGCTTCGGGTAGCGGGAGTAGTCGACCTCATCCACGCCACACATCTCCGCAAAGTGATTGCCAATGTCAAAGGCCTGGAAATTGTAGTCGGCATACTCGTAGTCGATAAAGTTGACGGTTTTCAGGCTCTGTGTGTAGATGACATTGCCCAGCAGAAGGTCGTTGTGGGAGAAGACAATCGGACTGTCCAGAGCCTCAAGGTATTCATATAGCTTGTTGAACTCCTCGCGCAGGCGGCCGATAGGTAGAAACGTTTCTTTCACTCTGCAAACGAAGGGTAATATCGATTTGCATTAAAACAAAGAGTAAAGAATCAAAGAATCATCATACCTTTTGTGTTTTTCAGCATCACTAAAACGTTCAGGTACTAAATCGAGAAAGCTCTGCGTCTTCTTCCATATCATCGGCATTGGTTTGGCCGCCGAACTTTCCCCGTGCTTCCTCACCTTGCGATGCATCTCGGCCATGCGACGGGCGACCAAGGGCCAAATCTCTGGACAGAGCACACTGTCCGTATTCAGGGTGGTTCCAGGTACGTATTCGTAGACGAGGCCGTTCTTGAACGTCGCATACAGCGATGGCGCTAGGCCGTACGTATGCAGTAGAAGAAAGTTTTGCGTCTCCGCCTTGCGATCTATCAGTAGGTCCGTTTTGTTACCATATATCCTCACGAGCACTACGTTATCGGAGTACTGTACAGGTGTACCGTCGTCAGTTGCCAGCTCGTCTGTGAACTGATCATCGTCCTTCTCGATGATGACTGGATCCTCCGACTGAACTGGCGACAGACCCTGGGTCTTGATGGGTATATACGATCCGCCGTTCTCATCTCTCAATTTGGAGATCTCTTTGTGGAAACATCCGACCAGTTTGTTTGTGATTCCATCGGTAAAACTCTAGAATTAGCAAAGGTATAACCTTGTTAATACAAAGTAATACGAATATCGATTAAGTGGATGGGTTAGGACTAATAATTACTAGTCAGTTGAGGCTACGTGATTTGTGTGCTTTGATTATGTGCGTGAAATGGTTGCATCACCTATTACCAATTGCTGTGGAAAGGTTTATTAGTAGCATTCAATGGAACTATTTCTGGAATTCATTCATTAAGCCGCAGGCTCAATAGCTACAGTAAAGGGCTTACGGCACCTTTCTTATCAACTCCACATGCTTCTTATGTACGTTAATATATACATATATATATATATATATTTATATATATAAATGAATGGAAGCACATGGGTGATAAACTTTTTGACACCAGCTATTTGCGTGCTAAGCGTCTCGACAAGACCCCCTTCGTATTGAAACATACGTATACGGTGCGTTTTATAATGAAAAAACACAGACACAGATAAGATAAAGGAATATTAAACAATTGAAATTCAGAATATTCAAAGTAAGCTGATGGAAGTGGAAAAATGTAGGTATAATGCGTAGGTTTCTTGTACATTGTACGATTAAAAAGAAAACAAACGTTAACTTATAATCTTTTTAATCTAAGAAAATAATTGGGTTAAGCTAACCACAATGGGTAATATCTTAAGGGGCTGTAATAAATAATAATCAATCGTTCTGAGCTATCAACCCTCGAGTACTATCAATCAACTTCAGATTATATAGCACGGCTGGCACTAATAAAAGTCGAGCACATGTGTAAACCCTGTTTTTGCGTTTCAATCGCCGGAACTTATTAGTTCAAGAGAGTTTACTACTTGCAGTTGCTACAAAAAACAATATACGTTATGGGATATATATAAATAGTTAGACGACTCTAACAACACCAAATATTTGCTTTTTATTGTGGAGAACTTGTGCCTATGACGGCATGGTCCATGCTGAATCAGCTTAGCTTACCCTCACCTCAAAAAGAAATTGTATCATAGTCGGGGAATTTTACTACTGCTTTTATTCTAATTTTATGATATGGAGGACGACTGACTGGCGCCAAAAAACAACTCTATCCCAAAGCTTTGTTCTTCAATAAGAAAGCTTTATATATAGGTATCCTTATAGTATAAAAAATACCGGGTTTTAATATACCATCCTATAATATCTAACATTTAAAAAACAGCCTTGACTATATTAACTGCGTTTTAACTTATTATTACCAAAAGCTACTTGAAGGATGAGCCACATTCCTCAATCTACCAACGATTAGCCAAGATTCAACGTTCAACAATTCAGAATGGAGCTGCTATAAGCTGATTATGATAAGAAACATACGTACAAGCTGTGTACACCAATTAAACGTCATGCATACAGTGAAGTATACAGATAGTGAGGTCAAGGCGTACGAGTGGGTTCCGATAAGGCAAGAACGCCCCACTTCCAGTGAAAAAAAGATTACAAAAAATCTACAGGCCATATATTATGTACCATTATCAAATCGGGACAACAAAAATCAAGCCCCTTAAAAGGAAAAAAACCGGACGTATAGGGGTATCAGTTTTTTAGATCATCCATAAAATATGGACTGATGATTAACTGAAAACACTCGAGTCAATGCACCTGTATGCAATGCCTTGTACATGGGGAAGGTGTGATTTCATTAGAACCCCGGACTAATTGACACGAAGGCCTATTTCTTGGCTGCCACCCCTTCAAACCCCTTAAGTGCTCCATTTGCAGGGGAGCAATTATTTCCACCGGAGTCGAGGGCTAGATTGGCAAACTGGTTTCTACTGCGACTCGGTCTCGGTCTCAGTATCGGCACTCAGAATTCGTAACTCTAGCAGTCCTAACACACCAACACCACACACCATTGTGAATAATGTTAATTTCGAATAACAATCCCATGGGTCTCTCCATTGATATAACAAAGTCTATTTACAATTATCAAGGCGGCAGTGAGAACGCTATATGTATATATATTGTATATTATATAATTACTATTGGAAGGTTGGTTGTGCAATAACCCTGTTCAAACTGTGTTAGCAAACTACTATAGTATGGAGTATCTATCCCCCGTTCCGCACACCAGTTAGTGATCGTAATAAATGATAAGGAAACATACATCATCGTCATCATCATCATTTTGGGCCGGATAACGATCTTCGATCTGCGAACTACCCTGATCTGATGGAGTAGAGAATATATGACATTGATGGTTTTGATTTTGCGTTTTTGTTTTTATTTTTTTGAATATTTTTTTCTTTTGTTTTGTATTTTTTGAGGATTTTGATATTGTAAGGGGGGTGATTTTTGGGTTAATGCGCTTTACTTTACCTTA